CAACATCAGGATCAGGCTTAATATTCGCTGCTTTCTCTCTCCTTAACAACTCTGCTAGCATCTCTGCAAATGTTCAAGAAGAACAATTAATGTATTTAACGACCAGTAAACGTACAATATATCATTATTGGTAAATGCCTATATATGTGCACATATATACCAGTGTAAATCACAGTCTGCTTTGTAAATTTATACAAAGAAGAACATGAATAAGTGCTTTGGTTACTCACCATATCGGGATCCAACCCCTTGGCATCTAGCAGAGAACGAAAACGTTTCTCTCACAGTCATTTCACCTATATGAAGATCATGTTGGCTTATGTAGGCCGCAGTTCTCTGGGGTACAAACTCATGCAGGCCGTGGCCATTATATGTCACCCTACCGGAAACCTAGTGTTACAGAAATGGAGAATTTTCGTAGTCCTAATTGGGTATGCTAACTGATTCGAGAAAACTTCAGAAAAATTAAGGCTGCAATGACTGTATACCTGTAGATCAGGGTCAAGTTTCCCGGCCAAAGCCAACAAGAGTGTTGTCTTTCCAGAACTTGGAGGACCTAGAAGCAATGTCATTCTGCAACAACACATGAACAAAAAAATAAATAAACTGCCCAGAAAATTAACAGAAAAAAAAAATAGTAAAAACATTGAACTAAGATTCAAGCTTACCTGCAAGGCTTGATGATTCCGCTAACATCATGGAGGATAGTTACATGCCTCTTTCTACCAGGGAGTACATGGAAAATGTTCAAGAATCCCTTTTGGAAACAACCAAATATATATTAGAATAAAAAACCATTTACCAAAAACAAGAACAAAAACATCAAATTCTGCCCATGCAACAATAATGAAACACACACACGCTCGCGCGAACACACACACATATATATACATGCATATTTGCCTGTTGTTACCTCAACTATATTAACACAGAAGTTAAGGAAAGTAGGTAGAGCTCTGCCTCCTACATAAGCCTCTGCTTCAATATTTAGATGGTCGAATCTAACTTCAATTTCAGGCAAATCAATTCCAACTCTGAGAATTCCACGGAAGAACACAAAACCATTACTGACAAACCCAACATAAAAAAAGCATTTATAAACCAAAAATAGTTCAGATACATAATCGAAAGGAAATGATTAGAAGAAATCTTACCTATCAATTCGATCCCTCAGCTTTAACAAGAACTGCTCATTATCTTCTTCTGCTACTTTAATCAGCCTCTCAATCAAAGCCTTTCTTTGTTCAAACCCAAGATTCTCTACATCAACCTCATTGGTCACACCAGTTGATCCATGCAACAGACCTTTCTTCAATCGTTTGAAAGTGGGAAGCTTTTCAAGGGAAGCCCATTTAAGAGCTTCTTCATCATCTTCTTCTCGTGAAGATCGAGAAAATGCTTGAATAGCATTGTCCCTCCAAATCGAAGAACTGTGTGCTCGTAAACTACTACCGGCTTTATAAAGATCACCGGTATCCATGGCAACCCAAGCCGAAGAAGAAACTCAGCGCTACACAGAAACCCCACTAAGATTTAAAATACTCTTTAGAAGAAACTTAGAACAACTCAAAACCCACCAAGAAAAGGCAATGTTCCTTTAAAGATTAGGCCATGAACCACCTCAAGATTCTCCAAGTTTAGCAAAAATGGGGCATGGGTTAGCTTTAAATAGGAGAAGAGCGAAGAGAGATATAAGGAGCTAAATTTAATGCGTGTCGTGTGTGGACCAATCTCTGTATGATGTCGTTGCAAGTATCTGTTTAAGGAAGGAACTGAAAATATCTGAGTGTAGAATTTTCTGGTGTCTGGACCAACTAACCCCGTATACGATGACACACACACATGTAAAAACACAGACATCAGGCAGCTTTGAAGATTCATCATGAGTAATACATCTTGTCCATATGTTTAAAGTGGCGAAGATATTTTCTGAGTGATCCGCAGATCGTGGAGAATATGGGTTGGGATCCAAAAAGGCTCCACTTTGAGGAGTAAACATTGGCCGGGTTATACCATCTTAGTCATGCTAGCAATATTGATGGCTATAACTATTTAATAAATAAAATAGGACTCACTTTTTATTATGAAACTGGTTATGCATTAAATGGTATGATAGTGATAAATTTTTGTGGAACTCGCTTTCTGTCTTATTTAGTTATTACTGCGGTAATGTAAATGTAATGGTTACACGTAGTATATTTTCACTTTGATCCTTGGAAAGGTTTATTCAATCTTTTTTTTTTTTACTGTATGGGTGGGGGAATATGGGGTGTAAGTATAGAGATAGCAATCTCAACCTCTTACTAATTAACTCGTTCATAAATAAATAAGTTAAGTATTTATATTAATTCATACGAGTTTTAAATGAGTTGGGTAATAAAATTCATTTTAATTAAACGAATTAGGATTAATTACAAATGGGAATCTATTTGGTTGAATATTTATCTTTTTATTAAATAATATAAGTAATAAAATCAAATAAATATATTAATATACCAAAAAATATACATTCACTCATGTACTAAAAAATACACACATATACACTAAATACACCAAAACACACACAAAGACACTCGACTCACACTCCATGACCCGACCCTTTGTGTGTGTATTTTGGTGAATAGTGTATTTTGGTGTTTTATTAAATGTGTTTGTGTTTTTTGTGTGTTAGTATGTTTGTATATTTTTTGTGTATTAGTTTGTATATTTTTAGTGTATTAATGTGTCTTTTGGTGTATTAGTATATATATTTTTTGTATATTTATATGTATTCATATTAAGATTTTTAATTATTTTACAGTTTAATCCAACTCATTATAATTCAACCAATTATAATCCGATTATTAAGTGGGTTTAAAATGAATTGGATTTATTTTGCACCCAACTCATCTTGAACTAAACCAGAATCAACCCAATCAATCCATTTACCACCTTTAGGTGTAAATGTTATACAATGTGATATAATCGTCTATTAATAAATAAACAAGTCTATAAATGAATCCCACAAAAATTCATTACCACTCAATCATATAATATATAATCACCTCCAAAACAGAAAGCAAGACCCATTTTATCAATTTTGTTTTTTTTTTATTGAATAGTTACACATGAATATTGATAACATGATATAACTATTATACTTGATATTTTACTTGTGGTTATGGTATAGATTCTTGGACCATAAATGTTGTTTGAATATAATTTAGAGATTTAATAAATTGATAATAAATTTTATTTAATACTAAATATCATTGATAATCTATAAATCACAATCATTCAGGTCTCAAATTATTTCTGTAAATTATATCTCAAATAGTATTGCTCAAAAATATGGTTTTTTTTTTTAACTCTTTCAATTATATCACGTGATTTGTAAAATTCATAATCTATATCACCGAATTTTAATGTAAATTTTAATCTTCGAATTTTAATATGAACTCCAATGTTCAAACTCTCAATTTCAATATAAAAAGTTCAGCCGATATTCTACTAAACCGCCCCACTAGGAGGGGTTTAAGTTTAACAGTTTTAAATCTTCGCGTCTCCACATGGTTAAGTTGAGCCAAATATTTTTATCACCTTCACATTCATTGATGGTCATGCATGATCATTTATACCTGCCAAGCCAACAACAAGAACAATTTTCACAGTTAAAACAGAGGTAAAGCAGAGTCCAGTACATTTATACCTTACCAGTAAAGTCAACAAAAGAAGAAACATTTTGCATGGCGTCCACCGGTTCACGTTGTCCTTTCTTCCTTTTTTAAGGGAAGCTCTACGGTACCGTTGGGACAAAATTCGGTACGCTACCAAAAAAAAATGTGTGAATCTTAATTTTTATTATTAAATATTAAAAAATTACTCATTAAAAGTGTGATAATTTTGTCAATAAAATTTGTACCATTTTTTCTATTGAACGTAATCTCAACCGTCGTCCTTTGGTGGTACTTTTATCTTTTCTGATTATAACCTAACTTTAAATAATTATAATTTTATATTCAAAGATAATAATTTTACAATAAATAATTATGATCTCACTTTTAAATATAATAATTTTACTTTTAATTATTATAATCTTACCTAAAGAGTTTGTATCTCACTTTTAAAGATGATAACTTTATTTCAAGAGTAATAACTTTGTGTTTGTAAACAGTAACATTACATTCAATAGTCATGATTGATTAATTAAGATCAATTTCAATGCCATTTTTTTTTTTGCGATTTCACTCAATTAAGATCAATCATGATTAATTAAGAGATGCCGATTAAAAAAATTGGCATTGAGATCAATTTTAATTAATCATGATCGATCATGAGTTTGAAATATAATGTTACTACTTGTAAAGATAAAGTTATTACTCTTGAGATAAAGTTATCACATTTAAATGTGAGGTTCCAACTTTTTAGGTAAGGTCATAATAATTAAAATTAAAATTACTATCTTTAAAAGTGAGGTTATAACTATTTATGGTAAAATTACTACCTTTGGATATAAAGTTATAACTATTTAAGGCTAAGTTATAATTAATAAAGGTAAAAGTACCACAAAAAAATGGCAGCTGAGATTATAATCTTTAAAAAAAATGGTACAACTTTTATTGGCAAAGTTATCACACCTTTAATGAATAACTTTTTAATATTTAATGACAAAAATTGAGGGCGACACATTTTTTTTTGGTACTATACGGAATTTTGACCAAATGGTACCGTAGAACTACCCTTTTTTAAAGGTCAAAGAGTCAATTAAAATTCGAAAGAGTCCAAATCCTTAATTTATTCAAAATCTCAACAAAGGTCGAATAGAAATTCAACTTGTAAACATGTATGTATTGGAATTAGTTTATGCATATTTTAACTAATTTTTTTTTTTATTCGATCAAAAGACCATCCATGTCAAGATTAGGATAATCATAAAGAATAAATTCCTCATAATCTAATTCTAAGAAATTGTTAAGATCCGAACTTAAGATATCTAAATTTAAAATTTATTTTTATTATCACTTAAACTATCCTTAAAATTACGTGCAAGAACACAATTCATACTGTGACAAATGATTTATACTTTTTTGGATAGTTTTGGATTTCATAATGTTCACGTTAAGCCCTTCTTGACTTTTTCTAAAGGTCAAAAAATCAATTAAAATTTAGAAGAGTCCAAATCCTTAATTTATTCAAAACCTCAACAAAGGTCAAATAGAAAATCAACTTGTAAACGTATATGTATTGGGATCAATTTATATATATTTCGACTTAATTTTTTTTTTTTTTGATTCGTTCAAAAACTGATCATTCATATCAAGATTAGGACATTCATAAAGAATAAATTTCTCATAAGGTAATACTAAGGAGTTGTTAAGATTCGAACTCAAAATATCTAAATTAAGAGCTCGTTCCCGTTATCATTTGAATTACTCCTCAAAATTATGTCCACCAACACAGTTCATACTATGACAAATGATTTGTACTTTTTTTATAGGTTTGGATTTCGTAATGTTTACATTATGCCCTTCTTTCTTTTTTTGATCTGAAATATAGCCAAATTCATTCAAATAGGAAAAACTTGGTTACAATCAGATGCACAAAAAGCCTCAAACTCTAATGGGGGACAGCTAACCCAATTCACTGGAAGAGAATTGAAAAGTGCCAAAATTGTCACCCAATGAGCTGAAAATCCTAAGATCTAGAAGTCGAGTATATGATCTGATTATCTTCCACCACACGGAACTTCCTTGGTTAAGCTAAGTTTGATAACCCCCAAATTATCACTCTCAAAATTATTAGATTATTTTCCACAAAAATAATTATGCCCTTCTGTCGAAGGCAGAGGAATAGAGAAGATCTTTCTTGCGAGTTGTCAATTCGTGGATAAGGCTCTAACTGTAAATCAAAACGAATGTTTTTTAATGACATAAACATACCTACTTAAAAAAAAATCATATGATTTAATTTTGTCAATTTTTTGGCCTATTTCTCAAAGCTTTATCTCAGAAATTAGATGACGTATTGGGAATAAAAATTATATGACCTATTTCTCAATGTTTACTTCGAGAAGAACGATGAATGCGATTGGAGTATTATTTCCAACGCTCTTCAACCTCGTTGGTATGGAAGAAAAAATTTAATCTCTTTTTCTATCTTACACAATATTTGATTTATGATTTTTGCAATGCATGTGGATCCCACATAAAAATAATGTTTTTATTTAGCAATTAACTTGAATAATTTTCGTCTAATTTTGATTATTAGACACTTAAAAGATTAATATTATAATTTAATTTTTTTGTGGTCCCCACAACAAAAGTAAAGATACTATTTTGTCTTAATTGACTTTAATTCTCTCTTGTCTTGATGTTGAACATTAGGCATTAAAAAGATTAATGTTATAATTTATTAATTTAATACCACGTGTTAGTCTTTTACCTCATTTTAATACCACCTCTTAGGTGGTATTGAATAATGTGTTCTACGTGGGTTTATTTA